CATATATAAAAACCAGAAAATCAATTTTATTACCATAGTTTTTTGTATGTAATACGTGTTTTATGGATTTAAACAAAAACTAATTATCCGTTTTTATTCTTAACGTAAAATTACACATTACAGTTTATGTAATCGTGATAGTTATAATGTCAAAAAGTCAAGGATTGATTTAGTCAAACATACCAGAAACAACAAGCATATATCTCATTAGGCTATAATTAAAATAGTGATCATATTCATATTGTAAATAAAATCCGTCCGCAAACATGGTAATTTAACAAACCAAAGTACGTTTACCTATACAATGTAGAACGGTTATTGAATTTTAATATAAGTTTAAATGTAATTACGAAAAATAGTTAAGCAATATGTTAATAAAGCACATAGAACCATTAACGGATAGCTGGTTTAGACTGTTCAATTATTTACTCTACACATCAAGTAGCCACATTTTCCGATAAGTAACGTGGATCACTGATTTTATTCTGATAGGTATTACGGAACTTTGGTAACTTAAAGTTCAAGGAAAACGTTAAAGCATTTGAATTACAGTGTTTTTAACATAAAGAAGTTTTTTCGAAACAGTGCATAACTTGTTTATTTCTAAAAATAAGAATGTGCAAAAAATTTTGAAGGTTACTATAAGCTTCATCGGCATTAGTTTGGCATAGTACAAAACACAAAAGGACACATCGTCATACTGTAAAATATTAAGAATCGAATCACGAAAGCCCATCTATTAGAATTAAGGAGGGAGTGTTGAGCCATTCTGGTAGGACAGAGGGTATTTTTACTATTAACACTTTTTATTTATTAATACTTAATTCTGACGTCATCATTATTAGGTTGTCAGTCCTAAGACAGCACCTCCACTCTTTCTATTCATGAGCTAATCTTCGCATTTCCCTAAAACTAGAACATCCCACATCCTTAACTATTTGCGAACAGTAATCTAATCTTGGTCTACCTCTACTCCACTTAACTTTCTACCTTTTCGCTTTTAACCTTTTAACTTTTGTTTGTGCCTCTAATATGTCTCTGATTAGACCTTCATCTCTGAGAAGGAGTCCTACCAACCTATCTCACCTATATGATATTGACTTCCATGGAGTCCTATGTTCTCCTATTCTTTCTAAAACCTCTTAATTTGTAATCTTCCCTATCCACGGTATCCTCATCATTCGCTGGTAACACCTCATTTTAAATGCTTCTATTCTGTTTTTCTCCGCCGCGCTCACCGTCCATGTTTCGTATCCGTACATCGCCGCGCTCCGAACATACACCTTTAACAATCTTTTTCAAATTTGACGTAGCATCGAAAATATAAGAACTGTTGTAAACAACGCACAATCATAATGCAAAATACATTTGATTCAATCGTTTTTTCTCTGTGTTTTCTAGTGCAAATAATCTTCGTTGAATCCAACATGCCTATTCACCATTTCGCTAACACGCTGGAATTTGAATTTACATTTTACGCTACTCTTCATTATTGCTTTGGTTTCCTCTTTCTAACAATTCTTTTTGTTAATCAATGTACAGTGGTGAATTATAAAACTCGTCATTACAGACTTTTTTAACACTATCTACTACTGTAAGTTGCAAGGGAAACCTGGCCAAAAACTTTTTCTAGTAACCACTATCCTGGTCTTTCCAGATTTATTTTGAGTTGCTCCTTGCATATCTTGGTTGAAGAATAATTAACAGCAGATACAATATTCGGATACTGCTTGTGTATCTAAAGGTTGTATCCGAATCAGAAAAAAATGTATTCGAATGCCGTATCCGCCAAATAATTCGTAAAATATTCATCGACACAAGTCATTATTCCCGCATTAAAGACTCTCCGTGCACTGTAAATGAGACAGTAGTAGTAGTAAGATACTACTTATTCTATAATGTATTTTGCGGCATCCCCCGTGACACAATAAGAGGGACAAAGGTGCGCTGATGGGTTGATCTGTACCAAAATTAACACTCATAAATATAAAAGCTAATTAAGTGAGATTCAGTCCAGTGCAAAGTCCAAAGTACTAATTTGAATTCAAGTGCATATTAAAGGAGCTGTTAAGTGCCGTTCCACACGGAGCTGACGACGCGCGTTTGAACGCGCGTGTTTAAATGTTTTTTGGTCTACAAGAATTTTCACATAGCAACGGAATAATATCTCGCTGTGTTACCAATCATAACTTCTAAATGTATGTTCTATTGTTTCACTTTCTAATGCATTGAAGGGCAGTTGAATCAAAATATATATTAAAGGAAAAGTTAAGTGACGTTTCACACGGAGCTGATGGCAGGCGTTTGAACATGCGTGATTAAGTTTCATTTCACGCTTTATTATTTAGCTTTATTAAAACTTAATGCTGTTTTATACATTTCCAATACTTTCCTTTACTGTACTTCTTTTACTGCCCTCAACACAAAAACGACTCCCTATTCCTTAAGTTTTCCTTCATTCGGTTCAGCTCAACTCAGTATTCTTCCGAAGTTATATATCCTCACATCCCCCCAACACATGTTTCAGACATTTTACTTCCCTGTCACATATTCTACATTGCCTATCTTCTTCGTTTTTTCAATATTCACATCCTCTACACTCATTGCTTGCCCTAAATTTTACTAACATGATTATTTTCCTCCCTGCTTCTAAACAGCTTCTAACCTAAACCCCTTGTTAGTCCCTCCACAAAGTCTCCTTCAGCTTCTTCATATATCTTGATTCCTTTATTTTTCTTAAATCCTCTATTTTTATCATTTCCTTAGTTGTCTTCCTCATCAATTTTCCTCCAACCATTCCCTCACCTGCTCCTGACTGATTTTTAATACCTCAAATCCAACCTATCTACTTTCCATGCCTAATTCCCGTGCCTTCTTCTTTCACGATCGGGAAAATTGTCTAGTTGTGTTGCCATTATTCACATATATTAACTGTAGACAAATTAAAAAAAAAAAAGACAACGCAGTATCTTTTGCGGACCGGTCGAATGCTTCATGTGAAACAAACTCATACCAATGCGCCCCTGCGCTGACTCGGGCTCGAAACGAATCACCACGGAAGACACGCTTTTCCTATTTTCAAAATCAGCACACTGGTGAAACGCATACATGAAAATTTGGGAATAACTCTACCCAGTTTCTAGTCCTTTAGGACCAGTGACTCTCTATTGAAATGAGCGCGATCTCTACACGTTTATGTGAAACAGCGTTAAATTGTAATGTAAAAAGTACCCGTATCCGTTATCCGGAAAAAGAACTGAGTATACCTGAATGCAAGCTTTCAGGATACTGTAGCGAGCACGAGTGTGTTTGTGTGCGATCGGGCACACGTGTACGTGAACGGCTTATCGATTCGCCGACTAGCCGCGGGCGCCTTTCTTCATGTGCGCCGTATTTGTAAATGTGTGTGTNTGGAAGTCGTATTGGCAAAATAGTTTTGTATGAAAATAAATAAAAGTAAAACAAAAATACTTATATATAAGGGAAGAAAAAGAAGGGAAAGAGACGAAAATTAGAAGTGGCTGATTTTAGGTATCTAGGAAGTCAGATAAGCCAGGACAGAAGGAGTAGTAGGGATATAGAACAGAAGATAGCGCAGGGTCGAGTCGCCTTCAAAAAAGAAGTCATTTCAATGCTCGCAAACGATTAAGGAAGTTGTTTCACGACATTACTAGTAAAAAGTTTATGCTAGAGTCTATCGTACAGTCAGTTAGTAGCCGTGATACCTAAGCCTAAAACTTTTTGCTGTTACTGCACTATTCCCAGCCAATCCCGTACCGCTCTTTATTCGTGTATCCCTTCTACTACTTGAGTGCGATAAATTGTTCGTTATTTATTAATTAATATCTCAGAAACTGTGTTGTAATAATTAATAAAACTTTTTTCAAAGAAGTTATTAGACATTGTTTAATCTTTCTGTAGTTTTTTAAAACATTTGTAAGAAGGGATTCCAAGTTAACATTGTATTTCTAGTTAGCCTCGTCGGTATCCTGTATAGTACAATGTATAAGAGCCGCAAAAACGCTAACTTTGAAATTAAATATCTCTGAAACTATATTGTCCAATAATTTTAGTCTGCACATATAGGTGAAGAATAACTTAAATAATATTCTGTCAATATTTCAAAAGAATCCTAAAAATGGAGAGGACACCTTCTCAGGCATGTAGGCCTAGTCTCAGAGACATATTAGAGGCAGAAACGGGGTAGAGGTAAACCTAGATTAGATTACTGTTCGCAAATAGTTAAGAATGTGGCATGTTCTAGTTTTAGGAAAATGCGAAGATTAGCTCAGGATAGGAAAGAGTGGAGGTGGGTGTCCAACCAGTCTTAGGACTGACGACCTTATGTTGATGATGATGATGATAATGAAAAGGAACCGTATGTCCTCTACTATACCTCTAAGAATGTGTCTACAAAATTTCATGATGAGTAGCGAAAGCATGAAAAGCCGAAAAGCAAACAAACAAACGCAAAAAAAATAGATTTGTATCATTCGTAAGTCGAACAAAAAAAACTCATACATTTCTTCCTCAGAGACATAATTTGCTAGTAGCTACCTACATATGTTATCACAAAAATAATTCACTGATTCATTTGTCAATCTGCCGGAAGACGTGTCAATAGTTAGTGAAAACTAAAGATGGACAAGGTACCCGGTTTGGATCCGTGGTACGCGGCGGATCCGGCACCTTTTTTTGGATTCGGCTGGGTGCCGGATAGTGACGCCACGTACCGGCAGTTCCGGGTACTTGTACCACAGAAAAGAAGAAAAACTAACACCAGCAGTAAAACTTTAAAGTACCTCAAACGGAATTTATACCTCTAGATTTTATAAGGTCTTTCATGTGTTTTGGACGGAATTTACCCCTACCCCAATGGAAAGTAAAAAGGCATACGCGTCGATAGTTGGCACAAACAAATTTTTCAAACTCATCATTTTACTTACACCTACGTTTTTAATAATATAAAATGTTAAATACTGATAATATTTACTACTCACTGTGCCTGTTTTGTCATTTGCCACTACGGACTCTTCTGATGCAGGTTCTTCTGTTGTTGTACTCGTTGTTGACCCTCTTCCAAATATTAACGCTGTTGCCCTAATTCCGTACACATTTTGCATACTAAGCCATAACACTCCTGCAAATAAATATAACTGATATTTTCATAATTTTTCGACTCGATGCATAATTTTCAAACAATTAGTGATTCAAAACTGAAATGAAAAAGGCCGTTAGAGGTCACGTTTAATAAATATCTATAAATGCGGTTTTTGTGAAATTATTACAGTTATTGCGTAGCTTTAACAAGTCTTGATAAATTTTAAACTTCAGGCTATTACTATGAAAGAGCGTAAGAGCTGCATCACTCCAGTATTGTAACTCATATTATGCTCAATAGATGACCACACGTCATTTCCATGACTATTAATTTTCAAATTGCAGCGATTTCTATCATTAAATATCAATAAAAAACAACAAAATACTCTGTAAACGGTTCAACAAGGTCCATTTACGTAGATGGATATCTACTTTCTGAACTGATTCCACTGACCCCACGGCGTAGCTCACCATACGTGATAGGCACGTTACCAAAATCAAACAAAGAAGTTCATAATGGTCAGTATTATGTCAAAACTGCTACATGTAGATCGGGCTTTCGATCTTGTTGGATCTCATCAGCACGTCAAGATAACAGGTAGAGTTGATCCGTGTTTTGTTGAATTTGTCTGCGATGCGGTGATGAGATCCAGTAGTATTTACGAAAGCCACATAAAAAAACTAATGGAGGAAACATGTGGCTTCTAGGCCGTACGTTCCACAGCATTGGGATAGGCATAGTAAAATAATTTCTGCTAAAAACCTGAATCAAAAACGACATGTAACACAAATATGCTCATTTCTAGAAAGAAAAACCCGAAACAATATAATATTATTCACATTCCCGTTTGACACAGACGTGTTTCTTAAACAGCGTTTAATATGGCATCTTATTTAGTATTAAAGTAATAATATCATGCATTTATCGTCAGTTTTGACACAAAAGAGTATCTAAGCTAGGTACCTATGAAGACGGAAAGTATAGAAAGAGAGCAAATGAACTATTTCCTTTTTCTTAATCTTATGTATCGTGTAGAGTACTACTATTTCAAATGAATCAATTAACAGAAATTCAAAAATATTTCTTCTCTTTATTTAAAGTACGTAGATATGTATTTATCTTAGAAAACTCTGCCAAGTCAAAGCCGTAGTATAATCAACACGTTTCAATCATTATCAATGGGTGTGGAATTTGTTAGTATCTGCTCAGTTTTATTGTCCTTACCCCTGATCGATTTTGATTCTTTTTCAGATTATAAATATAACGTTCTATTTCTTCTAGTTAAAAACTAAAAAGTGATCTCGTCCTCTATTTCCTTCATCATCATAAGGTCGTCAGTCCTAAGACTGGTTGGACACGCACCTCCACTGTTTTTAATTGTAACTATAATTTAATCTACTTCTACCCCTCCTAACTCCTGTTTCTGCCTCTAATATGTCTCTGACTAGACCTTCATGTCTGAGAAGGTATCCTACCAATCTATCTCGCCTATTTCTTATTGACTTCGATAGAGCCCTCTGTTCTCCCATTTTTTCTAATACATCTTCATTTCTAACCTTTTCTATTCACGGTATTCTCATCATTCGCCTCTAACACCACATTTCGAATGCTTCTAATTTTTTTCTTTTCCGCCGCGTCCACTGTCCATCTTTTGCATCTGTAGAGCGCCGTGCTCCCAAAATACACCTTTAATAATCTTTTTCGTATTTCTAAATTATCCTTACGCGAGCATAGAAGTGACTTCCTTTTTTGATGTGAACCTAACCTTAGGCTATCCTCTGCTTTATATCCTAACTACTCCTTCCGTCATGACTTATCTGACTTCCTAGATACCTAAAATTAGTCACATTTTCTAGCTTTTCGTCTCCTATCTTTACATTCGATCTTTCCCTACTTTTTCTTCCCTTGCATACCAGTATTTTAGTTTTACTTTTATTTATTTTCATACAGCACTGTTTTGTCAACACCGCTACCCGCTTGTAGGAAAAATAATTAAATTAAAATTAACAAGACATTGCTTTATGCAGTTCAATATTTGATCATGCATCATACACATAACATAACATTCAGCATAAATACACAATAGACGGCAATGTCAACTTTTAGCGAGAAATTCTTGGGTAATCGGTAATAGTATTGTATCCGAATTTTCTAAATTCGATTGGCTTCTTCCACTGATTTCCGGTTTTTCGTGCTCAAATGAACAGACTTATTCAACACTTAAACGTCTTAAAAGTTACATTCGATCAACTATGGGTTAAACAATATTGAATATTATTACTATGTTGCATATTCATCCTGATTTCGATTGGCTTCTTCCACTGATTTCCGGTTTTTCGTGCTCAAATGAACAGACTTATTCAACACTTAAACGTCTTAAAGGTTACATTCGATCAACTGTGGGTTAAACAATATTGAATATTATTACTATGTTGCATATTCATCCTGATTTTGAAAAATTGATAGAGAAATTAATTTCTCGAAAAAACGAAACGAGCAACAGCTTTCGCGAAAAAATTATACTTAAAATATACGCATTTTTTAACCACTACATTGTCTAATATAGATGAGCTCTTGTCCGGGTTGATGACCGTGGTCTGTTGGGTTGTTTTTCCGACGTTTCATCCACAACTGTGGTGGACATTTTCAAGGGCGATATCGAAGTCTCTCTTGCGAAACGGCGACAAGTGCAGCGTATTAAATTTCAATAATCAAATGAAATAATTCCAAAGATCAAAGTCATGAATTGCTGGGATTTCGTTGGCCTTTTCATATAAATTAACATTTAATAATCCCGTATCAACCAGTATTTAAAGAATAAATTACCACAAATACAGTTCGCCTAACCACAGTTCCTATAGATAGGTAATAGTGGTAACATATGAAATTATAAAAATATACACGTTGAATATTAAGATTATTGCATATAATTACAATTCATTTCTACATCTAGAATACTTTAGTAGTAAAAATCCATTACTACATAATGAAATTCTCAATTTCGTTTTGTGGTTTGGGGTCACTAAACTAAAACTGAAAGGTAAAGGAATTAGAAGTTTAATTAAAATGGAAATTAAAGGTGTTTAAATTAAATTTAGATTACAATGAGTATAAATTATTCTTCCTATTTCAAAGCAAACATCTACAAAAATTTAAAGTTAGACATAAATCGACATATGAAGTGATTTTCAGTAGAGCAAATTTAAATTTGGTTGAACCGTTTGTCTGATTCTAATTGGATTTCTTTTTGAAAACCCAAAAAAACGCCGAGTACATTATTTCAATGGATTTTTAGTGAATTTAAAACATAACTCCACATGTATCTATATTCCTGTTCAGTGACCCTCAGAACCCCCAGGGTAACAAAATTAGACTTATTTCTGTCATTATTGACTGAGTTTTTGAAGTAAAACTTCTTTACGCACGGTAGGGTAAGTTCGTTTCACGCGAGTTGCTATGCAACGAAATCATGCAACACAATCATGCAACGGATGCCCCCCCTCTACTCGGTCACGTAGTCGAGTTCGTAGTGGGGATCGCTTGAGCCGTGAACGCGCTTCAATGCAACGTTCGTTACAGGCAACTTCGTCATGTATAGTGTAAAATATAAATTCATAGTGTACAAATAATACCATTAAACCAATTCCTTAACCCCTATCCCGGTATGTTTGTATGTTTGAAGAAGTTTCACTTCAGTAGCGTGTTGTATAATTACACGTTGTATATTTTTTTATATCAACTTTGCAATGCACTTATAAGTTTTCTTATGCACCGATGCATTGTTGAAGATCTCTTATATTTAAAAAGTTTGTAGACGACCTCACGAAACGAATGCAGAAAACTACATCTTGATCCGACTTACTACACAAAAATTCGAAGATTTGGTCTTTTTTTTGTGCTTTATTTCTTCGACCAATTTGAAAGTACGGAGTAGGCTTGCCCTTCCGAAGTAAAAAAATTAATGTTAATTTCTGATTCTATTTATTTTTGAGAATTTTGTGAGCCAAAATAAGTTTGAAATCGCTGAATATAACAACTTATTTGAGAGGTCCAACTCGTACCTGTTTGGATTTTCACCTGTATTGAATTTATTGGTCTCGATTTACATTATTATCATTGTAAAGAGAAACAACAAAATAAATAACAAATTTATATTGTCAACGCTAAATTTTATATTAATTAAGAAAACAATGTAATGAATTTATTGGTCTCCATCATAAGGTTGTCAGTCCTAAGACTGGTTGGACACGCACCCATACTTTTCTATCCTGAGCTAATCTTCGCATTTCTCTAAAACTAGAACATCCCACATCCTCAACTATTTGCGAACAGTAGTCTAATCTAGGTCTACCTCTACTCCTCTTGAATACTGTTTTTCTCTGTTTTATTGTCCTTACCCCTGATCGATTTTGATTCTTTTTCAGATTATAAATATAACGTTCTATTTCTTCTAGTTAAAAACTATTTCCTTCATTATCATAAGGTCGTCAGTCCTAAGACTGGTTGGACACGCACCACCACTCTTTCCTATTCTGAGCTAATCTTCGCATTTCCCTAAAACTAGAACATCCCACATTCTTAACTATTTGCGAACAGTAGTCTAATCTAGGTCTACTTCTGTCCCTCCTAACTCCCGTTACTGCCTGTAATATGNAAGTTTCTTTAAGAAATATTTAAAATCAAATGCTATCTGGTGAAAGATAGTATTGCCTTTTAAAGTAAATTATTTAAATGTAAACGAGCTCGTTCTACAAAAGGGTATAAAATGAATTTCGCATTTCAACTGTAAATTTGTAATACGTTATTGTTAACATAAATAAAAAGCGAACTTGCTTTCAGATCATTCGCTTAAATTAATGTTTCTTGGAAAGTCATTCTTAGGGGAACGTTCAACTGTGGAATTTTATTTCTGAAATGTGGCTTTTAATATTTTTCGCAACAATAAAAATAAAAGCAAAATAAACTGCATACTTGGTATGTGAAACTCCGCAACGAAAATGTCATGAATACGAAACCTGTTGCTTTATATTCTCAAAGTAAACGCAACGTTCATGTGTTTGTTTCAAAAAGTACAAAGAACTTTGGCTAACTGGAAAGGAATTTTAACAAAGAACAAACAGTAAGGTCGTTATCCTACTTATTTTGAAAAATTAATTATTAAAGAAAACGGCACTAATTGCTAAGTTTATATCCTATCTATTGGAGCCCGTTTTGGATACTTAATGTAATTTTTTTAACAAAATTTGTATTGTTTATTATTAAAAGTCTTCACCATCACTTTGAAGTCTGAAATTCAATAATACAGTAAGTCACTGTAATAATGTAATTATACTATTTATTATTATTCATTTTAGTTCACAGTCAGTCTTTGGAGATACTAAATACAAATAGAACTTAACAACCTTAACTTTTATTTCTTCATTGGAATAGTATGAGAGGTATACTACTTTATTTGTTCAATAATTGTTTATACGAATTATAATTGTACATACAACATGTAATTTGTTTAAGCTTCCTAACTTCCTGTGGTTCTAAAATTTTTTTTATAAAAATAATTTTATATATTTCGAGTGCTAAAAGCTGTTAATAAGATCAATACAAGTAAAAAATCAAAAAGGTAGGAGCTTGACCCTATCAAATAAATTGATAAGTTCAGCGATTTTAAACTTTATAACTCATTCCATAAAATATAATAATCCTCACTATTCATCTGTAACACCACACCTTTTCTTTTCCTCCGCGTCCACCGTCCATGTTTTGCATCCGTACAGCGTCGTACTCCAGACATGCAATCTTTTTTGAAATTCTAAATTAACTATTAGCGAGCAGTGAAGTGACTCCTTTTTTGATAAATACGACTTGACCTTGCGCTATCCTCTGTTTTAAATCTGTGCTACTCCTTTCATCCTGAATTATCTAACTCCCTAGATACCAAAAATTAACGACCATTATAAAATTAATATTTTTTGTGTATGATGAATCTCCCGGGTTGGAAAAATATTCAAAGCGGGCAGAACACCCCTGCTTCAAATAATGTCTTCAATCAGTCAGAGTGCGAACAAGAGCCACCACTATCGCTTGAACAAAAAGGCGATAGCATAAAAAAGTAGAGAAAATGATTTCAATGATCGTCACTCATAAGAACATCAACTCCTTCCTATCCTGAGCTAATCTTCGCATTTCCCGAAAACTAGAACATCTCACATCTTTAACTATTTGTGAACAGTAATCTAACCTAGGTCTACCTCTACTCCTCTGAACTACTGTTTCTGTCTCTAATATGTCTCTAACTAGCCCTTCATGCATGAGAAAGTGTCCTACCAACCTATCCCGCCTACTTCTTATTGACTTCCATAGAGTCCTCTGTTCTCCTATTCTTTCTAAAACCTGTTCAATTTTTAATCTTCTTTATCCACGGTATCCTCATTATTCGCCTGTAACATCACATTTCGAACGCTTATAACCTTTTCTATTCCGCTGCGCCCACCGTTCTTGTTTCGCACCCGTACAGCTCCGCGCTCCAGACATATACCTTTAACAATCTTTTTCGAATTTATAAATTAACCGTTCGCGAGCAAAGAAGTAACTTCTTTCTGTTGAAGGCGACACGACCCTACGCTATTCTCTGCGTTATATCCTTACTACTCCTTCCGTCCTGACTTATTTGACATTCTAGATTTCTCTTTTCCCTAATTTTTCTTCCCTTGCACACCAGCATTAGAGTTGTAAATGAATTATGAAAAGAAACTTTAGAGGGAGTAAAACTTGTTTTTATTTCTAACTTTAGGTGCGCCAATCACATTTTTTTACTTTTAGAATACAGTTCTTGTCTAGTTACGTTTTCAATTGGGGTATATTTAATTGACCGCAAATAATTAATTAATAAATAAATAATAACTGGGGGGTGAGTCTTCACTTATTCTTAATTTCTTTGGTTCCTTATTTTCTATTTGACATGCTTAATGTTCGATAAAGCCAAAAAAGGAATTAGGTAAGATTAATAAACAAGTTGTGGTTGCATATAAAACAAAGCTTTATTCGTTTCGCTGATGGATTATGTAATCGAAATCCTGTATTAATCTACCATTATCAGGAGAAAAAACTAAATAGTTACTACGTAAGACGCTTTTCTTACTGGTAAGTGCCACAGAGGTCCCATTTCCTTCTAAATAAGTTTATAGAGTTAAGAATTGTTTAGAACTAGCGAAATAATTACCATGGTAGGTTAGAACAAATTGTTTACAATGGTTATTAAATAAGTATCTGTTGATTATATGCAAATCCTTGATGAACAGATAGCCAATTGGGTTCCGCTACTACATAATTGTGTACGCATTGTTTATTAATTCATTCTTAAATTGACTTACCACATTGTCTAATACAAGCTTTTGTTACAATTGACACTTCAAAATTATGAAAATAAGATAGAAATAGAACATTATCCTTTGTCCTATCTTCACCAATGATATATATATTAAGATATTTTTAATTAAAAGCAGATATAAAGGTCTGAAATGTTCTTTATTAATTGTGTAATTCCACTGACGTTTCACCTTCTGATATGAACTTTTGTATGGTATTCAGAAACAAAAACCTTTCAAAAAACGTTTTGTCTGTCTTTATGTTTGTATGGGTTAATATTTGAAACGGCTGAATTGATTTCTATTACACTTTACAGACATGAAGATAAGTTTCATTCGTGAGGTCAAAAATAGTACCCATTACAAGAATGTCATGACCTTCAAGCTCACTAACCCATTTCCCCTTTGATAGCGTAAAGCTTTCATGTAAAAATTCTTCCTAAATGATGGGAATCAGTCGATATACTTCATGTTTCTTGTAATAATAATTGTTATTTATTTCACCTCTGTACACCACCTCTTTTGTTTTAATATCGAAGCCGACAGTTTTGTAAACTTTTGATAAGTGAAAAAATAGGTAACTTGCACCCTCCCAATCTACCGCCCAGAGTAAACTATCTTATCCGAAAATGTTACCGTAAAATTTGTTTTCATTTCCAATGATGCTGAAATCTCGTGCCCAGCTTATAGACATTAAGTTACGCCAAAAAAAATCCAGGAACCTTGTTTCAGTTGACCCAGCTTCTCACAATAGAGAAAAACCTGTTTGAAAATATAACTCATTATGAGTTAGTTGGATTTTGCATGCTGCATTTTCATTTGTTGGATTTATATTTAAGGGACTGCTCAGTAGCTTAGTACTACTATCGCGAATTTTGTGTTTTTTCAAAAATTATTTATTTATTCATGAATATCTATATTGTCTCTTTCAAAGTAATCCCCACTAGATATTATACACTCGTGAAAACGTTTTTCCAATCCTCGAAGCACTTCAAAAATCATTTTTTGTGGTCTTGTTCAGCTCCTCCTTCGATGCCGTCTTTATCTCCTCAACCGTAACGTAGCGTCGTCCTTTCATGAGCCTTTACAGTTTCAGGAACAAGAAAAAGTCACAAGGGGCCAGGTCTGGGGAACACGGTGGCTGCGGCATTAATAGTGTATTGGTTTTAGCCAAAAATTCATGCGCAAGCAACGATGTGTGACCGGGAGTGTTATTACGGAGCAAGAGCCAATTTTTGTTCTTCCACAAATGCGGGCGTTTCTGGCGGATTGCTTCGCGCAAATTGCGCATAACTAGCAAGTTATATTCCTTATTGACCATTCTACCCTGTGCCAAAAACCTTCACATTCGACTTAACTTGGCGCACTTTTGTCGGTCATGACTCGTGCGGCAGCTTTCATTGGGATGATTGAGATTTGATTTCCATATCATAACCATGAACTCATGATTTGCCACCAGTTATGACCCTCTGGAGCAAATTTGGGTTAACAGAGTCCAACAGCTCCTGTTAATGTGATGCTGTTTTCATACGAAATTGAGCAATTTTGGTATGAATTTCGCGGCGACCCGTCTCATACCCAAAATCATTGGTAAAAATTAAATGGCAGGAGACGATCGATGTATTATTATTTTCTTCACTTGAACAATGTTTTCGTCTGCTCTTCGTCGTTTACATCACAAACTAAACCCATTTCAACAAAACTTTTTAAAGTGTGTTGCTTTACTAGATTTTAGCCGCTGCTTCGCACTCATTGAAATCGTAAATACGTGTCAAAAAATATAGACCACTATATACATAAAACTAATGTTTCTATCTCTTAAAAGATACTTTTTTGTACCCCTGACAACGTGTATACAAAATTTCATGAAGATCGGTTGAGTTGTTAAGGCGTGAAATCATAGCAAATAAACAAACTCACGTTCGCATTTATAATATTACCTCGCATTCGTTAATTTCTAAGGGTACCTTATACCGTTCGTCATTGAATAAAATTGGTCCATCCGCAATTACTCAATAGTCTAGTAGTTACATGTTTATTGTGATCAAACAGAACTACTTATTGTAAGCTTCAGATTTTTCAGGTATATAAGCTCCGTGTCAGATGCTGGATGTTGACGATCCAGCATCGGAAATAGAAGGACCTCTAAAGAAGCTCCACAATCAACGTTAGTAAGCAAATTTAACCGGCGATGACCTTTACATCCGAATAAGAACAGCATCAATTTACCTACAGATAAAACAAAAAAAAACATTGACAAATAAAAAAGCCGCCGTAGCCAACCCCAACGTACCATCATCATCTTGCTACAGATGGCGTTTACTGCGCCATTTGTAGTATTTTTTAAAACGCACTGTTAAGACAGCAGGTAAAAGTTGGTCTGGGTTCTGTCGGGGTGCCTGTGACGCGCTGATGAGATCCAAAAAGATCGAAATCGCAATCCGCGTCTGGCAGTTTCGACAGAATACAGACCACTTCAAATTATTTTACATTATCTATTATTGATTATTTTTATTTGCCAAATTTTCCTATACCTTACCTGCAGAAAGTAACAGCCAGAGTCCTGGCGGCCTCTTCATAATTCTGGAAAAGAGAACAAGCGTTAAATAGTCAATTACCACTACATAATTGAAAGCAAAAATTACAATGCACAACAACCTAGAAGCAGTGCTGGCCTGCCCTTGAACAGGTGCCCTTCAGCAAATTTAAATTGGCACCATTAAGCAAGTTTAAAGCGGTGCCCATTTAAGGGTAGTATTCAGATTTTCAAAATATTCTCCCGATTTTACAGTTAATACTGTAGCGAGCACGAGAGTGTTTGTGTGCGATCGGGCACACGTGTGTGTGAGCGGCTTATCGATTAGCCGACTAGCCGCGGGCGCCTTTCTTCGTGTGCACCGTATTTGTAAATGTGTGAGTCGTTCCTGCGTTCTGGGAAAGCACGTAAACAGTTCAAAGGAAAAGAAACTTTTCCGGACGTTTCGAGAAGGTTCCCGAAAGAAAACAAAAGAGTATTTAAAGGAAGAGACGATCGCTGAGAGTAGTAGAAATAAATTGACCGTTGCAGAAGTGAATCGAGAAATAAATTGACAGTGAAAGCAGTGAAATAAATAGCGCAGTGAATAGTGTTATATCAACAGTAGTACAAATAAGTAGACTAATTCGTAATCTAAGTAGTAATAATTTAATAGTGTTTTTAAGTTCTTTAATAATTAGTGTAAATAAATAGTTTTGTCGTGATCAGTCTTAAAAGTTAATTTTGTTAAACCCACGAACATTACAATACGTTGTCTAGCTTTTCAACAACTTTTTCTCTTTTGGAAACGTTCGTACCATCGCGCATCGATTACCTACATTAAATAATAAGTTCTTATCTAGAACGCAATAGACATAGTTTAAAAAAAAATATAATTAATTTTTTGTGGCATCAAAACTCTTAATTACTTTTATCTGATTAACATATTTTACTAAGAAAAACTAAAATATCAAAGCCATAAATAAGGCAATCTTTTTAGTCAGGTGATTTACTATTACTGGTAATTAAAAAGTGTCAAGGCATTCAACTTTCATTTTAGAAACCTGATAGGTGTAGACCTATTTATAGCTATTGAAAATACATTTTATGAATGATTTAACAATTACATAAATATTTAATTATCGAATAAAATTTTTATAATGCAGCGTCTAAGGTGTAGGCTTAGTGGATCTGAAGATGAATGTAAGACATTCTCGTAATATGTTCATTTTTATAGGTTAAAAAAGCGAAAAGTTAATGTTTATTAAAAAATAGAATAGGACAATAATATGAAACAGTTGTGGCTTTAATAATTACAGTTTTTTGAATTTTTTCTTAAGGTAAGTAATATCTTAGCTAGTATACAGTCAATTTGTAATAAATAAAGTATAATCCACCTCAAAAAATATCAGTTCTAATATTGTGTGAGTTTGTTACAATATCACATTTTAACTACTGGACGAATTATTATGAAATATTGTACACTTATTGTCAAGGGTACAGAAAAGGACATAGGGTACTTTTATCCAGAAAAAAAAACTGTTTCCGAGGGATAGAAAAATTAGTTTTATATGGTAGTAGATGTTCTTTGACACGTATTTAGCACATCAATGCGAGTAAAACGTGGGTAAAAGTTGGTTTTCTATAATAAACAGTTACATATATCTCCTTGAAAATGCCCAAACTATTTTGACACTTATTTATCATAAGAATAAATATCAGAAGAGATCAGACAAACAAAAATGCCAAAACTTGATTGTAATCTCAGAACCGGTTAATTCATCAGTATCCACAATGAATATTAAAGAGAAAAATAAATATTAGAATAATAAAAACAATAGTTCTCAGCAAGTCTAGGACAGGCTAGGTTAGGTTAGCCTAAAAGGTTAATATTTCTTTGACTCAAAGAACACCTAAATCTTCTTTAATTATTATTCGATTAGCATGAATTGTTTAAAAAAATTAAATACATTTTGGAAAGATATATCGATAATTATGCGGGTAAATTGTGAGAATCATCAACTAATTTTAAAAAACCATAAATAAAAGAACCCTAGAGATTTTCAAACTACTATTGTATTTAAATTAGACCAATGAATTACTAACTTTCAAAAAACAATTTGTGAAATGACAGAAAACTAAGTTTTTTTACGAACGCTTGTAAATAAAGAGCTAGTACCTATATAGGGTGTCCAATAATTTCTTCGCCAAACTTTAGCACAGGAAGTGAAAATGATAGGGAGATGAAACAAAAACAATTTCAATAGTCAGGCAGTAAACTTTCAAAACCCATGTTTATGGGTTATGGTTGTTTAACTACCCTCTGGTGCTAACAGCCGTTTTGTAACCTCCCTCAACTATCATTTTTCAAATGCTACTGCTAACATCTGTTTATCATACTATGTTCCAGGGCATTAATAGACAGGCAAAAAGGACTATACAATTGTGCAATAACAGATACAGTTTATTATAATCATATAACAAGGAATACGGAGATATGAAAGTCTAATGATACACTATACCTGATCAGTACTTCGGGAAAAATAAGGGAAAAGAGGGTACATGAAAGAGACGTAGAATGAGCCATTTTGCACCACTCAGTGATATAGGTACATAAACATTAGGGTAGTGACCTCACCGAAAGCCCCAACTGTTCCTGCAGTGATGACGACGACACGCATGATATCGCCGCGCCGGTGTATTCCATTGCACCGTCNCCTTCAGCAAATTTAAATTGGCACCATTAAGCAAGTTTAAAGCGGTGCCCATTTAAGGGTAGTATTCAGATTTTCACAATATTCTCCCGATTGATACGATTACATTATTAAACAAACTACAATAGTATCAATTAATGGTCATTGGTCAATGCATATAGCATATAACTCGAGTTTTCCAAGACAAACTTTTCAATTCTTATTCATGTATATATATAATATATATCAAAAAATACATTTTTACTTCAATTTATTAATCTTTATTCAAAAATCACAGTGTATGCAAATGCTTATTATTATTATTATTATCTTGGCTTCTTACTACCCATCTAACGGACAGTTTAGAAAGTGTCTAATAACGACAAAGCCGATTCAAAACGTGATAATGAACTTTTAATAACAATTGTATGTACATAATAGACAGATCACATAATTAAGCAGTGATAAATAGCAAATTTTATAAATTGTAAATTTAGGTATTCCACCTAAGGATGAAAGAATCCGTAAAGTTATTAAAGTACCTATAGGTATAATCACGCTATGGTTAACCACTACCATGAAATGTATCAGTCTTTCTCATGAAAACTGGACTGTTTATCTTCTCGTTAGAAACAAAATTTTGTTGGATAACGCGTTACTAGCTGCTGCCTGAAATAATTTGAATTTTAAGTACTTTTGATTTTTCATAGCAGCGTTTTAGAACTAGTATGTGTTTTAATCTTTTAATATTTAATACTAAGGTTCGACTTTAAGTTTAAGTTGCCGCCCTTCGCCGATGCAAGAGTTTGCCCTTCCTTCCAAGGCTGGTACTACTTAGCAGTGAGTACAAGATTATTGCTAATCATCATCAAAGGATCGTCAGACTGTTGGACACGCACCTTCACTCTTTCCTATCCTATCCTAACATCAACTAATTTTAAAAAACCATAAATAAAAGAACCCTAGAGATTCTCAAACTACTATTTTATTTAAATTAGACCAATGAATTACTAACTTTCAAAAAACAATTTGTGAAATGACAGAAAACTAAGTTTTTTTACGAACGCTTGTAGTTAATACTAGTGTTACTAAATTGTAAGTTGTATCAAGAAATATCTAAAGTATTTATAAGGAGTACCTTTTAACAGGAGTGTTCTATTTGCGTACTAACACTCGCCTCGAAAGTCCGAACGAAAGGAAGAAGACGACGAAGGCGTATCCTTGAAATAGCGTTGCAACTCCGGAGTTGCAGTTCTTAACCTTTGTTTTTACAATTGTTGTGAGTGCATTTTTTTTCTCTCGCGTCACCGACACCCAGATAACAATACAAAATGCAGGTGCGGTTTACATTCCCGACCAACACGAAGTCTCTTTGCCAACTGAACCATCAAAATATCGGATGGAGAAGAAGCTGTGGATTTAGTTTTTCCACTACTCCGCTACTTATTCTTCTTCTCCTTCGTTTTCTTGTCGCTGCCATTATTGTTGTTGTTGCTGTTATAAATGCGATAATGGCAAGCGAGCCACTTTCGATTTTTTCTTACGAAACGACGAAAAATTACGATGCATCTGATTATCGATTTTTTTCAGGTGAATGCTTGCTGTTTATCATCGAAATTGACAACGTAAACTACTTTCGACAAACCAGGAAGAAATTCAATAATAGATATCTTGTTTACTGGTATGAGAAAGGTGACAAAATCAGAGGAATTGAGTTGCAGTGCAAACATTGGTCAGCTTAACAACAGACATATTAGCAAGGCCGCAACTTCAACACAACGTAAAAAGTGAAATATTTTTCTAAAAATTATGAATGTTAAGAATCTGCAATTTATGCTGTAGTTAAATAAATAAAGAGCTAGTACCTTTACAGGGCGTTCAATAATTTCTTCGCCAAGCTCTAGCGCAGGAAGCGAAAATGGTAGAGAGATAAAACAGAAACCATTTCATGCAGTAAGCATTCAAACCCCATAATTATGCACCCTCTGGGAGGAACTGCCTCTTTGTAACCACCCTCAACTTTCATTTTTCAAATGGTACCCCTAATATCTGTTTATCATATTATGTTGCAGGGCATTAATAGACAGGAAAAAGGGACCATACAATTGTACAATAACAGATACAGTTTATTATAATTATATAACAGGGAATACGGAGATATGTAAGTCTAATAATACACTATGTCCGATCAGTACTCCGGGAAAATTAAAGAAAAAGAAGGTACATGAAAAAGAAGTAGAATGAACCATCTCGCACCACTCAGTGATATACATAAACATGAGGGTAGTGGCCTTACCGACAGCCTGAAGTGCTCCAGCAATGATGACGATGATGTGTATTCGGGTGATACCGCCGGTGTATACCCATTGCACCGTCCATATGTGACCACCATGTCCTCATTATTATTACTAATCATTACCTACAATTTACTTGTCTACGTATCAGCTGTTTGCGAAGGTCACAAATAGGTATGTGTGTTTCATAGAAATCTGATAAGATAACGCGGTAATTGTTCTCCATTATTGTCGGCTCGTTAACTGGGGTACTTTTTGTGCACACTTTTTACATCCCCTACATTGTGGTAAATGACTGAATTTGCCGTAGAAATACAATTTATTAGGTAACTTGTAATAATCTCAATTTTGACATGTTTCTTTAAAAATTATTTCAGGTTTCTTAATTATTACAATCAAATTTGTAAAATCAATTAAAATACCTAGTAGATTTATTTCTGCCGGGATTTTATTTTTACAAATTCGGGTCCAAATTGTAATATTTATTATTTTCGCTCACGAATCAACGGACTAGCGGAATAAATTGTAAATATCTCTTTAATTTTTAGGTAAATTGTGGTGTTATAGGCGGATGATGAGGATATCGTGGGTAGAAAAGGTTAGAAATGAAGAGGTATTGGAAAGAATAGGAGAACAGAGGACTCTATGAAAGTCAATAAAAAATAGGCGAGATAGGTTGGTAGGACACCTTCTCAGGCATGAAGGTCTAGTCAGAGACATATTAAAGTTAGGAGGGGTAGAGGTAGACCTACATTAGATTACTGTTCGCAAATAGTCAAGGATGTGGGCTGTTCTAGCTTTAGGGAAATGCGAAGTTTAGCTCAGGATAGGAAAAAGTAGAGGTACGTGTCCAACCAGTCTTAGGACTGTTGACCTTATGATGATGATGATAATGCATGTAAGATGTTCACGGCAAATATTATTTTTACCCGGAGCTGTTAAATAGCTAGATCAGGTCCTTCTGTAAACAGATAATGGGGATACCATTTGAAAATTGAGAGTGGCTACATTGGGACAAAGACCCTTAGATGGTGGTTGTCTATGGATTTTGGAAGCTTACTGCCTCACTATTGAAATGGTTTTTATTTCGTCTACTTATCATTTTCACTTAATTCCTGCACTATGGATTGACCAAGAAATTAAGGGACACCCTGTATATGCAGAAATAAATGAAGTGAATACACAAATTTGTTTTCACGCTTTTCCTAAGGCCGGGCGTTTACTTATTATACGATATTTTGGACGTGCCGACGTATGTCTGACTTGTTGCTTCGTTTCGAGATACGTATGGTGAGATGGTTGCCAATTGTGTCTGAACAATCTAGTAGTTAAGTAACCAATTCATTATTTTATAATTAGTTGAACGAACAAGACCAAGATTAAAAGCGAGACATAATGTGCAAGACCAAGACAAAATACGTAAGACTAAGCGAAAAATTATTATTTCCTGTGGATTTATTAATTAAACCAAGTTAAACTACTTATTTGATGTAACTTTAATATATTCTTTTCTTGGAACAAAATAATTGAAATTTTCTATTTAATTTACTACACTTTAACACTAAATAAGTATAAAAAAAGGAAACTTTGCCACTGTTTGAAAAAAGGGATCTACAAGAATATCCTCGGAGTAATTGCTCTTTCTGTTTTGTTCCTATGTCTGGATAACATATTGTTAAAATATAAAGACAAATTTTCGATATTTTTTACTTCTATCAAGTACACCATTATTTTGTTCGCTATGCATTGGAAGAAGGGTAAATTCTTGAGTTTTCATAACTCTCACAACTATCAACGCTATTTTCTCTAAAAGTCATGACAAGCTCGCATGTATAACAAGAAAATTTCAGTACTTAAGACAATTACTGTGTCGGTAAAAGAAAAATTTGTGCTTAGAAGGATTATTAAAAAAACGTAGGTATCAGATTAAATGAGCAAGGTCAGCCTTAACTCACAAGACCAATGCTAAGACCGAGTCTATGTCATCACGACCAACACCAAGGCTGAGGCTATATCAGCAAGACCAAGACCAATACCCAGACTGGGACAGCAGGGACTGGGTCTTTTGTTTTGCTCATCACTAGTGTCAAGGTTCGATACATTAACGTTTCATCAAGTTATGTACCTACAATACTGTACAATAAAGTGTTGGTCAATCGATACTCTGACAAACTTGAATCAAGTTCCAAATACTGAAGTTATACGTATACATAATATATTGAGTAATCTTGTATATATACAAATGAATCCCTACTTCCCTTGGTCACGGCATCACGCGTGAACGGCTGGACCGATTTCGCAAATTCTTTTTTTGTTGTGTTTGTTATTGTCAGGATAATTAAGAAAGTTGCGCCGAACATTAGTTACCAGTTACTAGAAAATTTTAGTAATTTTTGATAAAAGAAAATTTTACTTTCGAATAAGAAAATAGAAGTGTAGTGTTTCATAATACAACTTCAACAATAAATGCTGGTGTTACAAAAGTCAATAATTTTGCAAAAACTTATTATTGAAATAATAACCATTTGTCATGCTTGATCTAATATTGGAAAATTATGGGTCAATCTTGGATTAAGCTTGGTCCTGTCATGATTTCCTACATGGGATAAATCTAATAGATAGGATTTCCTTCACGAAGTGACTAACATCAAACATTCGGTATATTAATTATTTATTTATAACGGATTTGTAAAAGCGAGAAATAATAATTAGATACCTACAGAACGTTCAATTAGACGATTTTATATTAACGAGCTCTATTAAATTTTCAAGCTTTCTTCAATGACTTATACAATCTTAAAATAACCGGAGTGCGACAGTTTTGAAGAACAGCACTTCCGATCAGAATTACGCACAGATTGAACTGAGACATTCGTTAAGTTAATTAAATTATAAAATTTTAATTTTACGCATGTTATCGAATCGTTTCTCTACCGGGAAATGGGTAACTGTTCCGTGTCTAATTCGCCCTCTGAATTAGTGTAGTAATCCTTCCTAGAATTCCGTTTGAATTATTTATTGGTGATTAGAAATTATTATCAAGCTCTAGCTAAGTACCTGATTTTTACAAACCTCGTAGTATAACATCGGTTTAAATATTAAACGTAGGAAATTACGAGAGTTAAGCTTTTCCCTCATCTGCGGAATTTTTGTACTCTATATATAGTGTCGTCAAGTTCATTTTTTACATTCGACGAAACTAATGCTTTCCATGCAATAAAAAGGTTAGAAGAACAGAGGACTCAATGGAACTCAATAGAAAATAGGCGAGATAGGTTGGTAGGACATCTTCTCAGGGATGAAGGTCTTGGCAGAGACATATTAAAGGCAGAAACAGGAGTTAAGAGGAGTAGAGGTAGACCTAGATTAGATTACTGTTCACAAATAGTTAAGATTGTGGGTTGTTCTACTTTTAGGGAAATGCGAAGATTAGCTCAGGATAGGGAAAAGTGGAGGTGAATGTCCAACCAGTCTGACCAACCAGATGATGATGATTAAAAAAGTTTGTGTCCACTTAAGTTGGCAGCGTAGGGAAAACTTTTTTATTATTAATCATACAAAAAAAGTTAAAAAATATTCATATAAGTACAAGTGAAATTTTTGTGTATCAGTAAAATACTTTTGTTTTGGATAATAGCCTTTATAATGAAAATAACTTATTGAGAATTGAAAAGTTAATTACAAATATGCAACCATATCTATCGATTGCTAACATTATTTTTATAAAGAATTACTTTTTCCGTAAGATTAATAATGAAAGTTTGCCATATGCTGCCAACTTAATTAGACACAGTGTATAAGAATGAATTAATTTTCTATACCTATTTATGTAAAAGACAGTAACATTTTACAACACGCCATGCTATAATGTTATAACAAAATTCCTTTAATAGTAGTAAATGCAAAATATTGGTTAAGTATTGTTCAACTATAAATTGTATCTACATTAATTAAATTTAATAATCAGAATATAAAATAGTTTGATGGAAAAATAGGCAAATATTCCCCAATAATTAAATTAACAGTATCATTATCATCGTAAGGTCGCCAATCCTTTACATTCAAAAAATACAAAAAAACTGTCATCATAAGT